AGTGCCCCCGGAGCGCGGATTTAGCGATCCGCACTCACGGGGGCAACTTGGCTATTAGTATATAGATAAGAACAATCCTAAACAGATCTACTCAGAAGTAAATTCCATGTATTCAACTGTGTTAACTCCCAGGAACGTGTTCTTAGGATTGTAGCCTATATGTCAGTATGCACATTATGAAATTCATATCATGCTAGCAACTATTCATAAACCCCTTGTACATAAAAAGAATGTCCATACAGCCAGGTCAATGAAAATTAAATTCTCTCATAACCATACATTTGGATAACTAGAAATGTTACTATCAACATGACTGAGAATTAGACTTAGATGTTAAACAGCAAATATTTACAATTCAAGAAAAGAAACAGATTCTCCCATACTACATTCAAGACCTATGTCTTGCATTCTGAAGCTATGCAAAGAGTATTCTGTCTAATTATTTAAGTATCAGAAAAAACACGTGTGTCTTAGTTCCAAGACAAAAAGTTGTAGGTCTTGTCTTTGTAGATACCAGTGATGCCACTAAAAGAAAACTGAAACATGAAGCACAATATTTTGTCTTGTCAGAAGGAGAACCCCCTCCCCCGAAAGTGTGTTCAGCAGCAGCGAGCATCAAATGACATTTTACCAATGGCAGGGCAGTTGCCCCACTCCCAGGACATTTCTTACCCTGTCATAAGTGTTTGCCTCTAGGTCTCCCCACTTCCTGCCATCCCACGATGTAATCCGCACTATGTCACAGATGTTTGGGGGGATGTAGCTACGGAGAACTCTGTTCAACCGGCCAGTGCGAGAAATAGAGACATCATTGGCTGCTAATTCTCCTATTGCAAAAAGGACAGCAGCATAAACCAGGGATAGCCAAATTCTAGGGACTGTTCAAACTCTGTGCATGACTGAGAACCAATGGACACGATCCTACATGCCACTGATGAATGGCATTTGCTCTCTCTCATGATCAAAGCCCTATATCATGTTCAGCATGTCATCTATGTAGCTTCCCTACAGAAAGTAAAGACATGGAACTGAACATGGAGCTGAAGAGGCCCAGAAGAGCATATTAAACTTCCTATCTCAAGGCAGCCCCCTGAAGATTCATCTACATAACTCAAATCACAGATGATATGAGTAGAGAGAAGCGAGATACATCATACCAGTACACTTGAAGAGCAGATGGCTCCAGACAATTCAAATAAGTGTGGTCAGGTTACATACTACGGCATTTCTAAGGCTGCATTCCTACATATATTTACCTGGAAGGAAACACTACTCTATATAGTGTGGCTGAGGTATGGTCTACACATACAGGAGAATGAAGAGACAGAATGGCAAAGTACCACGTTCTACTGCTGGGAGGGAAGAGGGGTCCCATATGCAAACTCCATGGAAATAAAAAACAGCCCAACATGTAGAAACTTAAGGCATTGTCACAGAGGTCCTCTGCGCTGGTTTTCTATTTGCAGTATCTGCGAGACCGCCTCTCCCTCTATAAGCCCTGAAGGGCTTTACAATCTGCTAATCAGCATCTTCTGGTGGTCCCTGGCCCCAGGGACATCCGTCTCGCCTCAACTAGGGCCAGGGCCTTTTCAGCCCTGGCCCCTACCTGCTGGAATGAGCTCCCATACGAGATCAGGGCCCTGTGGGACCTTTTACAGTCCCACAGGGCCTGCAAGACAGAGGTCTTCCGCCAGGCTTTTAACTAGGGCAACGGATGTCCCTCCCTCTTTACTGGGTCTTCCCTCAGCGGGTCAGAACTGCGTACCAGAGATGGCATCTGTGAGGTCTTAATTTTAATTGATAACTGAACAGGATGGAGGTTATTGTGGTATTTTACTAGTGTTTTAATTGTGTATCTTTGTATATTGTATTTTTTATCAAATCTGATGTAACCCACTGTCATGATCTGTGTAGGCCTCTGGAGATCTGTGCAAGACAGGGAGAAAAGCCTGAGGCCTAGGGCCCAGGAGAGGCCTGTGTGGTAGTAGAAAGCAAGCTGCCTACAATTCCCACAATGCCTAGAACCAGCTGCAACCAATGGGAACACTGGAAGTCTCTGAGGAGAGGTGTTCTTATACATGATGGGCAGTTTAACTGACGTTCTTTTCTCTGTGGTCTTGCCTCACACAAGAGTGGAGTAAGGAGACTGGTCCGGGGGAAAGTTCCCCCACTGGGAGAGTGACTACAGGACAAGCCTGGGTTTATAGAGAGCTGTAGGCCTTAAGTAGTAACAGTTAAAGTGAAGTAGTTAATCGCGTTAGCTTTGATTATTTTTCCTTTAAGCACTGTTATACCTTTTTAAAGCACCTTGCCTTATTAGCCTTGCCCCAGTATTGTTTTAATAAACCATTGTTTTATTCTCTGCCTTGGTCATCACGCCTGTGCTCTCTCGGCTACAAAGGGGCAACTTGAAGGGTACCCTGGGCCTTCTCAAGGGACCCGAATTCCAGGGTGGTGGCGGCAGAAGGTGGCAACCCGCTGGGGTCATGACACCCACCCTGAGCCTGCTATGCGGGGAAGGCGGGATATAAGTTGAATTTTTAAAAAATAAAATTATGTAGGCTGCATTCCAGAAGGTGATCAGCCACCTGCCACACTCCATTCACCTTCCCTAGCACCCTACCACCTCATTCTGCCGCACATGTAGACCATTCACAACTCACTACCATTTTCTTTTCTGAGATAGGAGTAAGGAGTGGCGCAAAGAAAGGAAGACATCGTGTTGAGCAAAACTTTTTTCATGCAGTTCAAAAGCCACAAATGAACCTTGCATAAGAGGGGCAAGAGAAACCAATCTGCAGTACCGAGGGCCTTAATATTTTATGATATTTGATCAAAGTTTAAAACAGTGTAGAACATTAACATTAAAAACACACACACAGAGGCACCTTCACATGGGGCATTCTGAAGCGGAAAGACAGGCTGCAAACCTTAAAGATATGGCTGCCAATACCAAACCCAGTTATTTAGAGGCAACTCTCCAGTCTACTCAGTGAATCCCAGCTCTGAACAACCTGAAGTGGAAAGACAGGCAGCAAACTTGAAAGATATGGCTGCAATACCAAACCCAGTTGTTTAGAGGCAACTCTCCTGTCTACTCAGTGAATCCCAGCTCTGAACAAACATGCTTAGAAATCTCCCCCAGTCCATAGCTTCTGTAACGTTTAAGGGAGAGGAAGACATTACACAGAAAACTCCAGTCATGAAGGTGGCTGTCTTCCACTTCAGCCACTCCATGGAAGTTGCCTTTGGCAACGTAATCCAGGCAAAAATCAGCAAAAGGTTTAACTAGTCCCACTTATACCACCTATAGAGAAGCAAAGATGAGAAGAATTTTTGCTTACGACAACATCCAGTCTGTAGAAGTGCTAGCGTCTTTCCACCTGGTGCTGCACAGAGGTCAAGGACTAAGTCACCAGGCTGCACATTGAGAGCCAATACAGGCAGGACTGATGCAGCATCCAAGAGGTAGTAGCCCAGGATTCCAAGCGTGTCTGGTCTTCAAAAGAAGATAAAGCAGGACACTACATCAACTATATGTGCAGGGTATACAAACCGTACAACAGCTGCTGTGAAAAATTTCTGGCTGCCATTCATGCTTCAGCATCCATTTGCAAATGGGGCTTCAAGTACACAAGAGTACAAGATCCTGCTAAGGACTCTGACACCAATCTGCTTTCCTTCCATCTAGTCTTATCCTAGAAGGGAAGACAGTGTCCATACTCCATGATATTAAATGAAAACGCTTCTGAAGCAAAAACTAAATGCAGTAAAACAATCAGCAGCAGAAAAGGGATTTGTTGTCACTGACAGCAGCCAGATATTTTAGGAGAACTGTACAAGAATGAGACTCATTTTCAATCTGACAAGCATTGAACAGTACCAAAAAAAAAAAAGTCTGCTGTGCACCTGGCAGGAGGAAAGAGGCTGATGTCTCCTTTGGGGAATATGTAACATCTGATGTTGGGACTAATTAGTGTAGAAAGACAAGGATGTGGCTGTGCTTGAGATTCAGCAGGTACAGCCAAAGTTCCTGTTGACACAGCTGGTTTGCTAGCCTGTTGTCCTGCTGCGGAATTCAGATCTTGCACCACTTTCTGAGATTCCCAAATGAAATCCACAGCATTCAGACATTCCAGTTCCTGGGTCATCCGCTGTATATCAGAGAAATTGTTGAAAAGAGCTCCATATTTCTGTTCTGAGAGAAGGCTGATACGGATCGAAGGCCAGAGGCTGCCAAACTGCACACTGTAGTTCATGTCAAAGTTCTGCAAAGCCAGCCTGGTAGAAGAGATCCGAGGACGGGTGGCTGCCTTGAAAAGGATTATGAATAACAAACATTACAAAAAATAGGCTTCCCAATGGTTGTAAAGAAACCACAGTTCCAGGTTATGAATTAGTCTAAAATGGGACACACTGGCATGGGGGCTGGTTCCTCATACCTCACAGCTAGTGGGCCTGATTGCATGTGAATCAGCCAACATCCACATTAGAACATCTGGAATAGAACAATAGGTTCAAGAAGGCTTGCTACTAATCAGATGGGACCTTGAGAAGCCACTGCCTTCAAGACTGCCATGGCTGAGCCACCTGGTATTACTGGGACTGCATACTGATTCTGTACCATGGAGAAAGTACCAAAACTTTCCTTCCAGCTGAATGAATTGCACATTGTATGTTAAGTCAGAAAGCACAAACTGAAAGGCATTATTTTCTACCTTAAATTACTAGTGACAAAAATTAGAAAAGTAGCTATACCTAGAAACCTACACATGGATAACAGTTACAATCAACCTTGAATAAATGAAATAAATAATCAACAAGCCTGTCTTTCCAAAGCATGCTCTCTGGATATCTAAGATAACAGCAATTTAGGGGGGGGGGGGGGTAGATGTTCCACACACAACAACTTTTCAAGATGGTACTAAAAAGTTCCTCCTGTTCATCATAGCCCCAGTGGGAACATAACTCAGTACAAACGACCTCAGGATTTGCTATGGCAATCTGTTTACACACACGAATTGTGAGAGCTCACTTCCTGTTTCGCTGACCACAGGTACAGCCCTTTGTAAGGAAGAGCCAACACAGGTTTATTTTACAAATGCAGCTGGGAACCACTAACTGGATAAACGCAATGTCTAAATCACACCTTCATTTATACATGTGATGAATGTTACATGAGAACTGCTCAACGCACTTACAAAGAAAAATCAAGCGTATATTGTAGACAGATTCACTATAATTTGTGAATAGGGTTAAGAAGGTGAAACTGACGGGGGGCGTGAAAGGGGCTAGAAAGCAACCCGGAGAGGTGGACGGGATTAATTTTTGTTAGTAACTCCTCTAAGCTCCTCCAGACCGACGACGCCCGGGTCGTCCAACCTTCTCTCCCGCTCACCCATTTCTTCTTTTGCCGGTGCCTACAGGAGACGGAAAACGCTTTCGTCCACACCAGTCCCACGAACTGCCGCCTTCCTTTCCCAACATGCGCAGCAGAGGAGACAGCCGCCATCGCCTACTCCAACGCCGGCCCCGGTGCACACTCCTCCCTTCCTCCTGCGCCGAGACACGCCGGCGAATCGTTCATAGGAAGGAGGATCCGTCCCTTGTTCGACCTGGAACTGGCGTCGCCCGGAAGTTTCGTTGACATTTCCCCGCCCATTTGTATTAAAGGAGCGGTGGAAAAAGCTGGTGCTACGAAATACTGCAGCCGGTTCTACCTTAAGAGTAGCGCAAGCCACGTGGGGGAAGGAGATGGTGGCAGGCTCGCATCTGCTTAGCAACACTGCTGGTACCACCTTATTTGTTCAGGGCTCTGCGCTTTTACAAGTATTTTAAATAGTTTTTCGGTACCACTTTTCAAGAAAGCAATCTACAGAGCGGACCATAAAGATTTTCAAGTATAGTACCCAACCGCTTTCAAATAGCAACAACAAAAAAGTTTAAAAAAATTACTGATTAAAAGATAAAAAAATCGGGATGTAGTAAAAGGAAGGTCAGGATTGCCCATTGGAAACAATGGGAGAGACTTGAAGGTCTATTGGAAATAATGGGAGCCAGGAATGCCAATTGACTTGCATGGGCTCCACTGAAATACATTACACCTCAAGAACTTTTTAAAAAGTCGTGTGTGACATCACACGGGAGAGGTGGAATTTGCCCCTAGGAGTCCAAGGCCACCACCCCGGGGCTCAGGGAGGCAGAGGAACCACCACCACCCCGCGGCTGCTGCCATTGTTGGCGGCGGCAGTGATAACTTTTTAAAGAGCCCCTCACAAGAGCTAGGGAAACCAGAATGACCACTGTGTGATGGTGGGACATCACACGCAAGAGGTGGAATTTGCGTGTGTGAGATCACACGGTGGGACATCACAAGAGGTGGAATTTGCCCCTAGGAGTCCATGGCCACCACCCCGGGGCTCAGGGAGGCAGAGGAACCACCACCACCCCGCGGCTGCTGCCATTGTTGGCGGCGGCAGTGATAACTTTTTAAAGAGCCCCTCACGAGAGCTAGGGGAGCCAAAAGGACCGCTCGGATGTGATGTCCCAGCGGCAATGACCACACCACTGGGACATCACACGCCAGAGGCGGAAATTGCCCCTAGGAGTCCAAGGCCCCCTGTTCCTGCTCCTGCTACACCCTGGGGCTGTCAGTCCACATGTGATGTCCCAGCGGCAACGACCACACCGCTGGGACATCACACGCCAGAGGCAGAATTTGCCCCTAGGAGTCCAAGGCCCCCGTTCCTGCTCCTGCTACATCCTGGGGCTGTCAGTCCATTCTGAGGCCCGTCATCCCAGTCCCAGAACACTCTTGCTACCCCCCATGGGCTGTCATTCCACTTCGTGATCTCTCATTCCAGTCCCAGAACACTTCTGCTCCACCCTGGGGCTGTAATTCCACTCTGGGACCTGTCATTCCAGTCCCTGAACACTCCTGCTACACCTTGGGGCTGTTATTCCACCACGTGGTCTCTCATTCCATCCCCAGAGTAGTTTTTGGGCCTTGAGACCCTAATGGAAAATCCATTCCGCATTTTTATTGCAACTCTACTTGTACTGTATTGTATTTCAATGGAGCCCATGCAAGTCAATTGGTATTCCTGGCTCTCATTTTTTTCAATGGGCCTTCAGGCATCTCCCATTGTTTCCAATGGGCAATCCTGTCCTTCCTTTTAGTTCATACCTAAAAAATCTCCAGAGGCATGGACAGCCATAATTTCGGAGCTGTAACAGAAAAGGCCCTGCTTTCTCATAGCAAGCTAATGGGACTGGGTAAAAGCAGGATCTAATTAATTTTTAATGGATTGTCATGTATTTGTATGACTTTTACATTGAAACAAAATAAAACCACTGTCATAATCAGGGGTCATTTTGTAGAAAAAGTGGTGCAGGAGCTCATTAGCATAACTTATTTGCATGTGCCACACACCCTGACATCACCAGAAGTGTGTCAGAAGGCAACACCCACTGCTCAGGCTCCACTGGACTGTTTTGGATTGCTAGCTATGGGAGGGGGGGATGTGCAGATCTGTCCTCACAGAGGAGGGAGAGCGTCTACCTGAATAAAACTTGGTCTTAAAGGTGCCACTAGACTGTTTTGGAGGGGGGGGGCTCTGTAGCTTACCTGGCTGCTTCTTGCTCTGACTGAGGGTTGCTGAGAGCAGGAGGTGGGGCTTGTTGCATGTGCCCGCTCCCTGGGCTCTTTACTGCCGGAGCTCTGCTCCTGTGCGCTCCTGCAGGAAGTGACCCCTAGTCATAATATAGGTAAAGGTTTCCCTTGCTCGAAAGCCAGTCGAATCCATCTCTAGGGATGCGGTGCTCATCTCCGTTTCCAAGCTAGAGCCAGCGCTGTCCAGACATTGCTGTGGTCATGTGGCCAGCTTGACTAGACGCCGAGGCGCACGGAATGCTGTTACCTTCCCACCAAAGTGGTACCTATTTATCTACTTGCAATTTCTTGCTTTTGAACTGCTAGGTTGGCAGGAGCTGGGGCCAGAGACGGGAGCTCACTCCATCATGCGGCACTTGGGTCTTGAACTGCTGAACTACCGACCTAAAAATCTTAATATTGATCATGTCTTAGTCTATAGGCAGCACCATAAAAACCATGCATACACCACTTCATGGCACCGCCATAGCATAGAAACATAGTTCTAAATCATGGATCCTTATGATTTGCGTGTTGGGTCACCCCAGAATCTGCATAAAATCATGTATCATGTCCACAGCCTCATGTTACGCCAGAAAAATAGTCGATCCACTGACTCATGCACAAAAACATGGTTCCAAAGCACAGGTCCACAGGATTTTTGTGTTGGTGCCATGAAATGGTAGATGTGTGCAATCTGTGGCTACGGACTTGATGGTGAGTTTGCAATGACACAATCAGCAAAGTATTTAAGACTGCAGTTTATGTATACCTACATGGGAGTAAATCCTACTGATTCCAGTGGTTTTAAAACAAAAGTCATCTGGTTTCACATGTTTAAATGGGCCCATCAAAAGTCCAATAAATCAACTCATAACTTTTAAAACACATCCCATGAGCAGAACTCATCAGCAGCTCCCAACATTCTGCACAAAAGGTGAACATTATGGAGCATATCAGAACTCAAGCTACACATATGATACATCTGGAACATGAAAAATCCTCATCTGCTTTGCTGATTCCTGCAGGAAATAATGACCCCACTGACAACTGATCAATTTCATTGTGTTGAAATTCCTTCCCTCTAGTTCCCTAATAGTACCTCTGAGTCCCCTGAGGCAGCACATGGGATTTTGAGGGCCCAGCAAACCATGTTCTGGGTGTCCTACATCTGGTGCTCCGAGTTATTTTTAAAATTCAGTTATCAGCCAAACGGACCCAACTTGGATTTGCACCAACACAAGGGTAGCTAAGTCTCTCTGTCCTGGTGACATTTTCCCAACCTGAAACAGCCCCAGGGAGCCACAAACCAGATAACTGACTTAAATCACTGAGAGTTCAAAATACAGAATTTTCAGTGGTTATGTTGTTTGGCCCTAAGGCATGCTTTCCCTTTAGGCAGGGGCTGAGCCTGGGAATTTTATTCACATGGCACACACTACCTCTGACTTGGCCTTATGTGATATGAAAATGAAGGAGAAAAAAAAGGCAAAATGTGAATGAGCCACAGTGTAGCCATGTCTGTGAAGGCCAAGTAAAGAACTGAAGGGAATGTTTGACCCAATAATGATCCAGAACTGTTATCTGTGCTTTGGGCTGAAGTCTCCAAAAGTCTGCATTCCTCACAACCTAGTTTTAAAAAAGGTATGTGTTAAGAAGTCAGTTTGACTTTTAACATGTATCCTTTTTAAAAAGTATAAGAGTTAGCAGTTTGTGCTGCTTTTGTAGCATACAGTAGATAAGATAGTAGTATTCTTAAAAGTATGTTAAGAAGGAAATATGGATTGCTTTTCTGTTGATTACAATTTGGTGCAGTATTGAGTTGTCATTGTCAATGCTTCCTCTAAGCTGTAGAGTCTTGTGAGCAAAAATTCTGCTTCTTGAGCCAGTGGCATTAAAGTTGTGAGTGAGAAATTTGGCTACTGCATAAATTAATTTGCTCTGGAGCCATCCTTCCTGAGCTAAGACAAAAATGTGTGAGCCGGAAGATTAAAAACCGTGAGCTAGCTCACACTAACTCAGCTTAGAGGGAACACTGGTCATTGTGTAATGGATATAAAAGTTCTGCAAGAGTCTGATGTCAATTTGCCTGTATATGTATATGCTTTCATTCTGCAAAGTTGTCAGTGTCTTTGAACCTTCTTAGGAACAGACCCTTTCCTTTTGTGAAATAAATTTCCTTGACCATGATCAATAAAGAATGATTAATCACAATCAATCAATATTAGTAGTGATTTGGACCCCTTCTTTGAGCCCAATTAAATTTGCAATTTCCCCATCAACACTATGCAGCTAGCCCACCTCCCCCATCCATTGCCCAGAAAAAGATCCAACATAAAAAAGGTTGCAGTTACAGATCTGAAGTTAAGAATGAGGCGAGGACTCTCAAGGTGTTAATGACAGAACAGGTTGATCAAGTCCTATTAAGCTTGTTTGAATTTGCAGACAGCTTAGCAGCATGGTCAACAGAAACCTGTAGGAGTATAACAGCTTGCTATTGGAAGAGCTCTCTTGCTTTTATCTTATACCTAAACCATCCATGCTGTACAGTTTTCTCTCTTATGCTAAGAGGATCTCATAGTTTGGTTTGAGATCAGGCCACCACACATACACTGCACCATACCTCCATCATGCCTTTTTGTTCTCTGATATGTTTGAACACAGCAGAAAGCAAGGACTGAAAAAGAGATATTTATTTCCTGGCAAAGGCAAGAAATTGCTTACAAGGAATAAATAGAAAGTTCATGATAAGGGAGGTAAAAGGCAGGTAGAGAAAGTTGTCTCCTTCCCCTCACCCCCCATATAATGTGTTTCCTAAGCTGTATCAGCAAGTACAGAGACCTAGTCATATCACATACCCATTGCTTTTAGGACAGGAAGTTAAAACCGGTGTGTGATAAAATGGTTTAGAATGCAAAGAACATTGACTGCTTTGCAGTACTTCTTAATTCTGTATGTTTAATTGCAAAACATGCTGTAATATTTCAAACATTTTCACAAGAAATATGTTTAATATGGAACGCCACAGAAATACTGCTAACCATGGATCTTCCACAGAACATGAGAGGAATCTGGGTTGGAACTCCTTTGCAGTCAGTTACAACTGATGGTTGGTTCCGTCACAACTGCCAACTTCCACATTCTCAAGCCACAGATGTAAAGCAGCATGTTTACTCAGAAATGCTCAGGTTTTCATCAGGGATGCAGGAGGGGAGGAGTTAGGCTTGCAGAACATTTATTTCAACTTGCTGAAGAGTTTGTGAGCCACCTGGAAAACAAGAGATGAAGAAAACATTAAAAGAAATTGAATTCAGTAGCTTCTTTAGCAAATTAATCTATCTTTACAGAATTAGAGTCCAGTAGCATCTTAGGGGACCAACAACATTTTCCAGGATACAAGTTTTTGTGAGTGACAAATTGAATTCTGACCCACAAAAACATGTACTCTGGAAAATTGTGTTGGTCCCTCAGATGCTACTGGACTCTAGCTTTGTTCTTTTATCAGAGAAAAATACAGCTATGCCTCCTGAAACTATCTTCATGCTTCAACTGCATTCTTGCAACCCATACTTCTAACCCATTTGTACTTGAGTAATATTGTTACAGATATTTGTATTTTAAAGTGAAGAGTGAGAGGACCCCCCCCCTTTTAAGATCTTCAAGAAGTGCTGTAAGGCCTGCCTGTTTGCCAGGGCTTTTGAAGGGGTTTGAATAGCAAGCATCTTTTAAGGGGGGGGAAGGGTCAAGGTTATTCTACCTTTGGTTTTAGTTGGGGATGTTTTAACTATTATTGTAAGCCACCTTGAACCAAGAAGAAAGGCAGTATATAAATGTTTCAATAAATAAAGTTTAAGTTCTAGCCACAGAATTCCTTTCACACAACCTTTAAATAGTTACTTGATTATGGGATACCTCACTTGCAAGGGCAAAACCATGGTTTGGCATTTTGTGAATGAGCCATTTATTTGAGCGTTCCCCCCCTTCCCTTGAACATTTGAAGCCAGGTTGAAGACGGGGATGGCAAAGGATGAGATGGTTAGACCGTGTCATAGATGCAACGAACATGAAATTGAGCAAACTTCAGAGGACAGCGGAAAACAGGAGGGCCTGGCGAGATCTTGTCCATGGGGTCGCGAAGAGTTGGACTCGACTGTGCGACTGGACAACAACAACAATTTACATTCCCCCATCAAACTAGTATTGCAAACCAGGTTTGAAACTTATTTGCAATCCTGGTTAAAAGAACGCAGATCATGACTGGCTAATTCGGATGTAATAACAAACTACTGTACTAGAAATCACAATTAGACTCTACGAGAAATGTAGAAGTACAGGGGTCATTCATGTAGTGCTGAACCATGGATTAGCTTTACTATGTGTTTAGAAAAACTGAGATGGTTGAGAAGTAAAGACTGATATTTGATAAATACAGAATTAATCTTGCATCTCAACAATTCTTCCTATCCCACCAGATATCAAAATGATGTTTTAATTCTTCATTAAAAAAACCCTAGTATCCAGATTCAAGAGCTGCTTCTTACTCAGTGTATAGTGAAATCTGAAGAATATTCCAAGTTTTGGCTCAAAAACGGAAAAACAGAGGTCCACTTCAGCCATACAGAAGCCTCAAATTAATCACAACTACTAATCACAACTGCAGCAAGCTTACACAGTGGTCTCTAGCATGCAAGAAGTCAAAGAGCTCCTCTGTACACTGCTCTTCCGTGTGGGACCTTGATGACACTCGAGCATCGCACTCCTCTAGAAGTTCCCGAAACTTCACACATTTTTCTGTTTGCTCACATTGTTCCCTGATAGTAGTTAATGGATCCTGGAAGAAAAACAGTTAATGGCAGAAGGTTGTTGCTAAGATTCATCCAAAGGCCTACTGGCTGGAACACAGTACCTTGCTGTTTCTTATCCCAGATTTTAAAAAAAAGATCACAAAAGGATTAAAATCTTTCCTACTGTTCCACAGTTATCTACTATCACATTTTCAGCCTTTCTACCACAAGCAGGGTATTTTCCCAATGAGCCCCTGGATGTAAGCAATGAGCCTGTAAGTCATTAGGACTTTTCCTGGGGTGCGGCACTTACATGTTAGTTGCAAGTCAGACACAACCCACCTCTGCTCTAGGCTGTTAAATAGTTTTTTGAAAATGAATAAAATTGTCCGCAGAACCAAGCTTTGGTGTTCTAGAGATACTTCTACAATACATTAACAAACCCAAAAAAAGCATATGAAGCTTCAGTAGTACAGCCCACATGACTGCTTGGTACTTTAAGATGCTATGAACAGATTGGGAAAGACACAGCTTATCAAAATTGATCCATGTACTTGTGTTTCAGTTTATCATAATCACCCCTCCCCCAACATACACCAACATTTTTGCATCAAATGCTAGTTTTCTAACTCCAAATGAGAAATTTCATGGAACAACATGATTCTGAATTATCTCTCTTGTAAACAAGTTCTTCTCTTTTTCCAATATTATTTTAATTAAAAGTCACATACCACAAGTTCTTCCTCTTCTTCCTCCTCCTCCTAGACAGACACAAATCAAGATGACTCATAAATTATCTGACTCATAAATAAAGTGGGTACATTCGGCTATAGCAAAATTAACCACAATTTAGAGTTTTTTCCTACAGTGTAGTAGATAGCTTTTTTGCAACCTGTGTTTTTGTATTAGTAAGACTTATTCCTAAATTTTTGTTTATTATAATAATTTAATTTGACGTTCAAATCTATAGATATATTATAGCTGGTTGGACCATGAAGGGTAAAATCTCACAGTGTTGCTGAAGAAGGAAAAGCAATTGTTTGGTGACAAGTGGTATGGGAGGCCACTACATTCCTGACTGCTAGAGTTATGCCATCTCTGAATACCAGAACACCAAAACCATGAGGGAGATCTTTCATCTCACTTGATTCTGTCAACAGTTTGAGAGACAGATGTGTGGAAAAGAGCAATGGAAAAGTAAGACTGAGCTAGAGACACTGCAAAGACAGAAGAACAGACAAGACAGACCTTGATGGAGAGCATGCAACTTGCATCTTAAGTGAGTCTGGGGAAGCCAAAGGAAACCATTAAATGGAAGGGATGTCAAGCCAATTTAACAGGGGACAGGATAACCAGATTCAGCAAGCAGGCAACTAGGGCCACTTGATGAGTGCAAGGGAGGAAGATAAAAAAAGAAGGGCAGAAAGAACAAATGAGCATCTATTATCCACCCTACAGGAGAATTAGGACTATACAAGTCCCATAAAAACCTGAAGGGCGGGGCAACCGCGGGGGTCTCATTTCCACCCACTGTCCCCCTTACCTTTTCTCCTTGTTCCTCCGCGGCCTCTTCTGTACAAAGTCCCCCACTCCTGGCAGCCCCTCCCCTTTCCTTCTCTCCCACCCACCTACCTTTTCTAGTTTATCTCCTTTCCTAGTGTCCCAAAGTATTCAAACAGAAATGAAATGGCATGAAATATACTGAAAATAACGAACGCTATGGGATGGAGCCATTACTTAAAGGAAGCGCACATGCTTTGCATGAAACAGCTCCTATACCCCATCCCTGGCAAATCCCTTTAAGAGGGGCCTCAGATTGCAAGCGTTAAGGCCGGCCTTTGCATGACACAATGTTTAGTATTCCGAACAAGGCAAGAGGCAGTCATCGGCTGATTTTTGTTTCTCAGGCGTCACTGCTCTTGAAGGAGGAGGTTCCATTTCTTAATCATAAAAATGCTATGAACAGAGAGGAGAACAAGACAAGGAAACCCGACAACAAAGTCAAGACTCAGAAGGAAAACGATTGCTTCGCCTAAAGGGGGGGAAGGGGGGGGAGGGACAGTATGACGAACTAAAACACCGTCCAGGACAAGGATAAAGATCATGCACCCTCTGCTGTAGTAGCCCACCTCAGGATCCCCATTCCAGCCTTCCAACGCCTTCTCGTCACTCAGCCCCATTTCGGACCGTCTTCCTCAACCCTGGCTCATCAGCAGCGGCCACACAGAAGGACGCGCAAGGGTCACCGGAAATCCCGCCCCCTCTGTGTAGCCTTGCTAAAACAGCATCACGTTTCCATTGACCTTCTTAAGATGGCTACCATGCCCACGCCTGTTTATATACGGATGAAGTCACCCAAGGCGTCTCCTGTGCTTGAAAGTTATGGGGCATATTTTCGACTCTACCAATATGGCCACCAGTTCCAACTAAATGGAGCCCGCCTCTTGCTCAGCATAGCCGTACCGAACATCCGCATAGCAATGTGACGTTCCCAAGATGGCGCTTTCCGTTTAAGGTAAATTGGTTTATCGGCCGATTAGTATGGAAGTTAAACATGAGGAGATGGTCACTGATCGGAATACTCTCAGCCTTTTTGACCTAAGTGCTGCGGTGGTCACCTCCGTTATGGGGCACGTGGAAAGAGAAGTGTGGGGTAAGCATTCGTTCGGAACCAAATATTTCCCCGTCAAAGGCGAAAAGCGTATCCTCTTGGGAGCGGACCCTAATTTTTCTTTGTACTGGGATCTCTGCATGCTCTGAAATGCCAAAATCTGACCCATGGGCTTTGGGTATTGGAGTTAGGACTTCCCCAAATCACCACGACAATAAAACTACATTCTCTCCCAGAGTCATTGGGTTACCAACCTTCAGGTAGGATCTGAAAATCTCCAAGAATTATAATTGATCTCCAGACTTCAATGTTTTCGTAAATAAAAGGCTGCTTTAGGGAATGAACGTTGTGTCGTTATACCGAGGTCCGTCTCCTCCCCAGATCCCACGGTCAGCATGCTCTGCGGCCAAATCTCCAGGAATTTCCAAACCCAGAGAGTTGGCAGCCCTAAAACTGATTTCCAGACTACACAGATCGTTTCCCCCTGGCATTACATACCCCCGCTGAGATCTCTCCCCAACACTGCCCTCCCCAGGCATTGCCCCTAAATATTCAGGAATTTCCCTAGCCCCAGTTGGAAATCTGAGCCCGTTCGCGGGGAGGGCGGGGTAAAAATGCAATAAATAAATAGATAATCTCTCTGTGTGTCTCTGTGTTAAGTCCTGTCAAGTTGCTTCCGATTTATGGCGACCCTATGAATTAACGTTCTCCAAAACGACCTATCATTATCTGCTATTCTCAGGCTTTGCAAACTGAGCACCATGGCTTCTTTTATTGTACAAAATGTACAAAAACACTGTAAAACAACTAATATTCTTTACACACTAGTATACATTCATAATTTCTTCCACAGCTTTACAGTGGCATAAAATGCCTTATATTTGTTTCAAACAAATACAATAAAATTTACAACAATAAGCTAGTATTGGCTTGATTATATATATTGTCACCACTGTATTAGGAAATGGTCTCAGAGACCAACAAAGTGTCCAATAAACTGTGACTAAATGTAGAAAGCAAATCAAGAAGTACAAATGTGACTGGCTGCAGAAATAATACACTGCAACTTGTGACTGCGACTACTAGCTTCAAGGAGACTGTGGCTGCAGCTTGCGGCTGTGAATAGCTTCCAAAAGAATGTGGCTGGTGCTTGTGGCTGTGCGAAAACCCTGACCCCTCCCACAGCCTGGATTAAAGATCATGGAATACATGTAATGTGTACCTTTCAAAAATACTTGCTACTACTTCTGATTTAGTTCTCAGGATAACACCAGTATCAACTGGTTCACTTGTATATACATGAGTTCTGCTGAGGTCCTTGTTTCCTCTACCCTGTCTAAATATACATATCACATCAGAGAATAATCCAGTTCCCACTTACTTGGAAGTAAGGTCTGTTATATTCTAAGAAAAAAAATATTTGAAATTGGGCTAAAAATCTGATTTCAGGGTGGAGACATCATTAGTTCAACTTTTTACCCTGCATGTTTAAACATGTCGTGTCACCCATTTGCCTAAAACTGTGTTTGCTCAAACTGAAATAATGTTTTGTATCCATTTCTCTCCACAAAAGCACTTCCAGGCCCTATACTCCAGGGTATCTTGCCAATGCTTAACATCTACTACCTGGAGCGAATTGAGGAGACTGCAGTGAAAAAAGGTCAGTTACTTGTTTTCTGCTATTCTAGGAAAACAAATATCATACATTTTTAAACTGTTTCTTCCCTGTTTTGCATGGGACCGAATACAACTGTCATGTTGCCATCCAGATTCTCTAATTTCCTCCAAAGATTAAAACACTTAATTAAATGGTTATTTATTCTGGCTAAGGAGCTATGTGTGTGTGTGCTTAAATTCCTCTTACTGCATTCAGTTGTGCTTCAGCTCACAGAGGTTAGAGACATCATAATTTTTGTTAAATTGCTACACCTAATACACCAGAACTATTGCGCATAAAACAATAAAGTATAGTTTAAGTATAGTTGTGGAGTAGTATAGTTGTGGAGCAATGAATAGAATGTTGATTTTAACTGTGGGAAACCCAGACTGAAATTCCTTTTTGCAGAGTGGCTTTACATTAGTCGCTGTCAGTTTAATCAGTTCAGAGGCTACAAAATTAACACAACCTCCTTAGAAAAGAGAAGGGATAATACCAATATGACAACTGTATAGAACATAAGAACATAAGAGTTGGATCAGGCCAAAGGCCCATCCAGTCCAACACTTTGTCACACAGTGGCCAGAAATACCAGTGCCATCAGGAGGTCCACCAGTGGGGCCAGGACATTAGAAGCCCTCCCACTGTTGACGCCCCCCCCCCAGCACCAAGAAGACTGAGCATCACTTGCCCCAGAGCCCCTATCTATACCTTGTGGCTAATAGCCACTGATGGACTTCTGCTCCATATGATTATCTAATTGCCTTTTGAAGCTGTCCATGCTTGTAGCCACCACCATCTCCTGTGGCAGTGAATTCCATGTGTTAATCACCCTTTGGGTGAAGAAGTACTTCCTTTTATCCGTTCTAACGCGACCGCTCAGCAATTTCATTGAGTGCCCACGAGTTCTTGTATTGTGAGAAAGAGAGAAAAGTACCTCTTTCTCTACCTGCTCTATCCCATGCATAATCTTATAAACCTCAATCATGTCTACCCTCAGTCATCGTTTCTCCAAGCTAAAGAGCCCTAAGCGCTTTTAACCTTTCCTCATAGGGAAAGTGTTCCAACCTTTTTATCATTCGAGTTGCCCTTTTCTGCACTTTTCCCAAAGCTATAATATCCTTTTTAAGGTATGGTGACCAGAACTGCACACAGTATTCCAAATGAGGTCGCACCATTGATTTATATAGGGGCATGATGATATTGGCTGATCTGTTTTCAATACCCTTCCTAATAATCCCCAGCATAGCATTGGCCCTTTTTATTGCAGTCACACACTGTCTCGACATTTTCACTGAGTTATCTACTACAACTCCAAGATCTCTCTCTTGATCAGTCTCTGCCAGTTCAGACCCCATCAACGTGTATTTATAGTTAGGATTTTTGGCTCCAATGTGCATCACCTTGCACTTGGCCACATTGAACCCCATCTGCCATGTTGACACCCACTTGCCCATCCTTGACAGATCCCTTTGGAGTGCCTCACAATCCTCCCTGGTTTTCACCACCCTGAACAACTTCGTATCATCTGCAAATATAGCCACTTCACTGCTTACTCCCAACTCCAGGTTGGTGGGAAATATAAAATTTTATAGTCAATATTGTTGCTGGATGATAACTAGCAGAGATTAATGAGATCATTGGAAAGCGTCAAATAAAAGATGAGAGGTTAATAAAAAGGATATAAGTGTGAAAAATAAATAAATAAAGTTATATTCTTAAACAATGGGACACTAAAGCAGTGCATAATAAGTTTGATGCTGAGGGCCTGAATTAAAATTCCATTTTGGTTGTGGATTGCTTGGGGGACTGTTAGCATCATAGAATAAAATAGATAATAGAATAAAAATAATTTTTGAGATTAACTGTGATCAAAATTTATAAAAAAGAACTCCATAGTTGAAAAGCTAAGCCAATATTTTTATTTATCTTCTTTATTTAATTTATACCCCACCAAAGTGGGCTCAGGGCGGCTTACAGATATTTTTCAGGTTAACTCTTCCTTTTAAATTCAATGAAGAACTTTTGAGAGTGAGAGTATAATTTTTACTCCTCTTCAAATGGGTTCCCTTTGCTTTAAACATTTTGCTCTTTCCATCAGGATTGTCAACTCAACCTATATGGTTCAAGCTCTGGTGTGACATCATGAAAACAAGACCATCCAAGTTTCAGGTGAGTTAAAGAATATGAACTTCCAAATTGGCATATATGAAGAAACTAGATTTCCTATATTCATGGCTGATTTAGACTTTGATCTTTCCCAATCACAATAATCTTTTGTATGAGTTTCAGTGGCAGTTGCTGTTCCACATAGAGAAATTTTAAGTCCAGGAACTGTTATACTGATTGGCAGTATACTGTTTAAAAATAAAACTTTGCCCTTTCTGATCTAGGGCAATATTGTTCCATTATTTCCCTTAGGAATGAAGTGAATGCCTATAGCCCCTACTTAAACGTTCATTTTTGTTTAGTCATATGCACACACGCTTGGGAGTTCCATTGAATTAAGAGGGACTTACTTTTGAGGATACATAAATAATACCATGGCACAAGGGCATTGAGTTTGTTTAGGTTTTATTTCTCTGCAGAGCATTAAGTGCTGGAGAAAGAAGTTCCTTGAAGCTTTCTTCTCAAATGTGCTGCGTGGGATCTTGGACGTGTCTTCAGACCAGCGCCTGAGAGATCCTTGCTTTTTGCCCTTGCTGTATACCTCACAGCATGTTACCCAGCTTACCATCTACAACATGCTTGAAGGAGTAGCAGAGCTGATGGCCAAACACAACCAGGGGGTTCTAGAAAACTTGGTTGTCTCTCTCAGATCCTTGACATTCCGTCACTTGCTGTCCTCCAGTCAGTCCACGAGACAACAACTGAGTTTGCTTCTTCATCACCTAATTCATCATGGGGCTGTGAACCATGTATCTATGAACTCCTGGCCTAATCCTGACTCATCACTTTTAGTCCTTATTCTGAAAATGAGTGCTGGGGTTTGGCACCCAGGAAAAACACTTGTAAACCAAGCAAGCCTTTGCCATCTGTGCAGGAAGACATCTGTTAACCAGAGCCAAAAGCTAGACCAAGAGCATGAACCTCATTTGAGCTCAAGCCAGCTTTCTCATGGATTAGCAACTGGCCAGCATAGTGACAAAGATCTGAGAAATGAGAGACTGTTACCCAGCACACCACTAGGCTTTGAAAATGCTGTAGAGCTGGCCAGAGCCAGCAGTGAGACTCTTAATGTCTCAGTGGACTGTCACTTGAGCAAGATGCAACATAGCACAAGTTCAGGGAGTTGTAATGCTGAAAAAGGATCTGTCAGACTTTCACCAGCAAAATCATCTCAAAACAGCACTCCTTTAAATGAATGCCAGAAGAGGGGAAAGGGTGTAACAAAACAGAAGCTTGGCTGCCATCAGAGGACCAGCAAAGCCACTACAGACTCAGAAGACCTTTATGACTTTGTTTTTGCTGTTGCAAGGGAAGAAGAGAAAGCATTGCTCAACAAACGAAAGAATTCTAAGGAGGGAAGGACTGTTAACTATTCTGCTTACCCCACAGAAGCCAGCACTACTGGTTTGGTTCACACAGATAAACCTTTTGAGATCACTTCCCTGAAAACAGCAAACCATTTCCGAAGCGTGTCCATTCTGGAAATTGTCTCCATCCGTCTGAACAGGAATACATGCCAGATGCTGGGAAATTTGCTCAGCTCTTGGGTATCTTTAGAAAAGCTTGTTCTGTCCTTGAACGGTGAGTAATAAACCAAACATCTGACTTCAGGCTTTATTAGCAATTTGTTTTACTGTAACAGAAGTTTTAAAAAGAGTGGTTGGATCTGAGCTTTAGATTGGCAAAAGGTATATTCCAAGTAGGGTGCTCACAAACAATCTTGGGGAGGCAGCAGATAGTCACATTTCCTAAATCAAATTATGGGAAACTATACTGAACCCATACTTCAGAAGGCAATCCTGAAATCATGTTTGGTAAGCCAAGTTATAAGCAAATAATTTACTTTGTGTGTACTTTCAAAGTCTACTTCTTCCTTTAAAATGTTGTTCCAGGCTTAGGTCCCAATATATTCAGCATTCTTTCTGGGCTCCGGGCTCTTTCTCGCCACAGTGACTACCATCTCCACGTGGTACACATAAGTGACACGCTCTCCCACGTCCCCTGCATGAATCTTGTCCACTCTATTTTGAGTGCTATTCCATTGCTTCGAGTACTTATGGTCAGCTTTGATCTCAAAACTCTGATGGAGTGGAGCAGGCCAGAAGAGAGCTTGGGCTCATCAACTTTAGAAGAAGAAATTCCAGGTAAATCATAACACAATTCGAACTTAATATTGTAATGTGTGTTTTCTTTTGAGTATAGAAGAGAACTTCTGAGTCCCAGCGATGTGGATATGCATCTCTATTAATTTAGAACCTTGTCTATGTGCTTTCTCTTGACCTACTCATTTCATAGTTTTAACAGCCACTGAGTGCCTTCAAACATTGCTTACGCTACTGGACATCTTTGGAAACAAAGCTGCAAAAGGTTACATTAGAAATGGGCCTCTGCGAAGTCAGGTCTTGCTTTGTAATTGGCTATGTTTGATCTCTCTCGTATAGAAAAGTCCAAAGAATCTTTTTAGTGGCTTGCCAGTTGGCTTTAAACCTCTTGCTCTTACAGATGGAAATCTTGTTCACTCTTACAAGTTCTGGTGTTTCTTTTTGAGACTCTCTGAAGAAGTGCTTCATGCTAGTCTTTCAGTTTGTACAATTAGAGTTCACAAGTCAAATAGCTTGCTTTATTTATTTATACATACCCTAACTCAGGTCCACAGAAGTTGTAGAGGCCTCTGATTCATTTCCAAATATAATCAGTTTTGCTCTTTATCTGTAGAACCCTTTCTAACCATCCATTTGCACCTACCTTCTTAAGCAGAAGTAAAATACTTCATTTCTGTGTTATCCATCGCCTAGGAGTAAATTACTTCTGTTCATTTCAATACCTCTCTGTCTGTTCAGGTGAAGTGCTTTGCTACTAGGGTAACTGTACATTCTACAGGTCCATGCATTCATACAATCATGTGGTCTGTGGTTACAATATCTAAATATGCTACTCTGATATTTGAGGAAAGTGAGAGACTTTGATTAGTGAGTGGTTTTCTGCTTTTTCTTTCATAACTCAACTAGAGAGCCATCTGGAACATCTTGAGGTCAGATTTCCCAGGGAACCTCTTCAAACAAGCCTCTTGATACCTGTACTGAAAGCCTCAAGGTCTCTTCAGAGCCTGTCTTTAGACAGTGCTGCAATTTCTTGTCCCCAAGAGGTTGAACGTCTCCTTCATGCACTGAAAGGTATTACAGAAACAGGTTTTTATAGCTGTGCTTGTCAACAATGTTGGTAGTTGTGCGGGAGAAGTACTGGCATCTTCAGACACATCCAGCTGGCCATACAGAATTAATTACTGTTTGGTTCTACACAGATAACTCTGTATTTGTTTGCTGTGTGTGCTGCCAAGCAGGAAAATTTTACACAATGGGGGGAAAGCGCCAAGCTTTTTCTGTAAGATCTTATTTGTCTTGCAGAATATAGCCCAGTCCTGAAGAGGCTAAGCTTTCATGACATCAATCTTTCTCACCACTCAAAAGATGTCCTCCTCTTACTGCAGGACCCCACCCTTCAAGGTACAACAGATTCACAGCCCACTCGTCTGTTCTTGTGCACTGTAGCTCTTCCTGATGGGGGCTGGGTGATGGGTCAGAGAAGATGAGGTTTACTGGCCAGTAAGGAGAAGGCAGTTCCATGCATCAGCAGAAGTATGGAAAAAGAGCACAAACTTTGCATGGGGAAAAAGGGAACACCGTGGAGACCACCCATTTTAACCATAATCTTGATTAGGTCACCTGCTTTCACTTAGGCAGCGACTTGTGTTCTTGTTCTTCAGGGCATTCAATGAAACTAATTCATATGGCAAAACATAGAAAGGAAGAATGGCTTATCAATTTGGGGATCTTTTCCTTGTAACAGAAATCACCTTTTCATTTTGTCGGCTGTTTGAAAACTGTACTGTGGAGTTTCTGTCTGAAATCATAAATGCTGTGAAGAAGAACCCATCTTTGAAGACTCTAAGGCTCCCTGGAAATAGGCTTGGTACGTAAGGCAAAATGCAACAACTGTCCCTAAATACTTTCTTCTCAGGTAGCGGGGAGGGATCCTAAGCGCTGTCACAAATTTTGGCACTCTTGACATAATCTGACTGTTTGACTGCAGTCTTGTTTTTTCAAGCCAGAGGTCATCTAGTGATGACTTTCAACTAAGCTGTTTGAGCTTTCCTGCTTGAAGCAATAGGCAATTTGCCTACCTACCAACGTTCAAGTCACAATAAGCCAGACACAGTCTTTTTTTCAGTAGGACAACTTTCCTGTCTTTACTGCTTACACTCTATGCCTTTTCTTCCAGTATACAGATTCAGATCAATGGAAGGAGCCCTGGAATCTCACTTTTCTAGAGACTCAGCTGCTCACCCAGTAACCCGCACTAAGTTCCTTCTGGCCAAAGGCTTCCTTTGCAAACTTCCTTTGCATTCCTTTAGACTATACATAATGTGGAATTAGGAAGGAAGGGAGAATGGAAACATTTTCTTACCAGAGAACATTTCAGCTAGTAGTGACCATCTATATACTAATAGTGAAAGGTGCCCCCTGCGTGCGGATATCTAAATCCGCGCATCGGGGGCACCTGGGGGGCAGGCAGATTTTCCTGCGCACTTGGGGCAGACCCCGGGTGTGCACAAAAATCTGAAAAGTTTAACAAACAAAAGTAAAAGAGCGTCCCCTGTGCATGCGCAGGGAACACTCTGCGAACTGGTGAGGCCCGGCAGCTGCAAGCCGCACGAGCCTCGCTTCGAAGCCGGAGGGGAAGAGAGAGAGAGACTGGCGAGGCCCGGCGGCTGCAAGCCGCGT